ACCAAACACACTTAAAGCATGCAGAATCGACTCAGAATAGGAAAAGGAGACGTTTAGGTCAATTTTATGCATTCTGGCGTTCGTAGATACAAGAAAACTGTTAAAATTCTTCAGAAACGTCACTTTTGAAGTGTTTTCTTGTACTTTTAAGCCAATCAGATACCCTACGGGCACGGAAAGTGCAACGAAACCATCAAATTTTAGCTAGAAACTGTATTTTTGTCGATTTTTATTGAATTTGAACTATATTTCAACGTTTTTTGATGGTTCTGAGCCACCAAACACACTTAAAGCATGCAGAATCGACTCAGAATAGGAAAAGGAGACGTTTAGGTCAATTTTATGCATTCTGGCGTTCGTAGATACAAGAAAACTGTTAAAATTCTTCAGAAACGTCACTTCTGAAGTGTTTTCTTGTACTTTTAAGCCAATCAGATACCCTACGGGCTCGGAAAGTGCAACGAAACCATCAAATTTTAGCTAGAAACTGTATTTTTGTCGATTTTTATTGAATTTGAACTATATTTCAACGTTTTTTGATGGTTCTGAGCCACCAAACACACTTAAAGCATGCAGAATCGACTCAGAATAGGAAAAGGAGACGTTTAGGTCAATTTTATGCATTCTGGCGTTCGTAGATACAAGAAAACTGTTAAAATTCTTCAGAAACGTCACTTTTGAAGTGTTTTCTTGTACTTTTAAGCTAATCAGATACCCTACGGGCTCGGAAAGTGCAACGAAACCATCAAATTTTAGCTAGAAACTGTATTTTTGTCGATTTTTATTGAATTTGAACTATATTTCAACGTTTTTTGATGGTTCTGAGCCACCAAACACACTTAAAGCATGCAGAATCGACTCAGAATAGGAAAAGGAGACGTTTAGGTCAATTTTATGCATTCTGGCGTTCGTAGATACAAGAAAACTGTTAAAATTCTTCAGAAACGTCACTTTTGAAGTGTTTTCTTGTACTTTTAAGCCAATCAGATACCCTACGGGCTCGGAAAGTGCAACGAAACCATCAAATTTTAGCTAGAAACTGTATTTTTGTCGATTTTTATTGAATTTGAACTATATTTCAACGTTTTTTGATGGTTCTGAGCCACCAAACACACTTAAAGCATGCAGAATCGACTCAGAATAGGAAAAGGAGACGTTTAGGTCAATTTTATGCATTCTGGCGTTCGTAGATACAAGAAAACTGTTAAAATTCTTCAGAAACGTCACTTTTGAAGTGTTTTCTTGTACTTTTAAGCCAATCAGATACCCTACGGGCTCGGAAAGTGCAACGAAACCATCAAATTTTAGCTAGAAACTGTATTTTTGTCGATTTTTATTGAATTTGAACTATATTTCAACGTTTTTTGATGGTTCTGAGCCACCAAACACACTTAAAGCATGCAGAATCGACTCAGAATAGGAAAAGGAGACGTTTAGGTCAATTTTATGCATTCTGGCGTTCGTAGATACAAGAAAACTGTTAAAATTCTTCAGAAACGTCACTTTTGAAGTGTTTTCTTGTACTTTTAAGCCAATCAGATACCCTACGGGCTCGGAAAGTGCAACGAAACCATCAAATTTTAGCTAGAAACTGTATTTTTGTCGATTTTTATTGAATTTGAACTATATTTCAACGTTTTTTGATGGTTCTGAGCCACCAAACACACTTAAAGCATGCAGAATCGACTCAGAATAGGAAAAGGAGACGTTTAGGTCAATTTTATGCATTCTGGCGTTCGTAGATACAAGAAAACTGTTAAAATTCTTCAGAAACGTCACTTTTGAAGTGTTTTCTTGTACTTTTAAGCCAATCAGATACCCTACGGGCTCGGAAAGTGCAACGAAACCATCAAATTTTAGCTAGAAACTGTATTTTTGTCGATTTTTATTGAATTTGAACTATATTTCGACGTTTTTTGATGGTTCTGAGCCACCAAACACACTTAAAGCATGCAGAATCGACTCAGAATAGGAAAAGGAGACGTTTAGGTCAATTTTATGCATTCTGGCGTTCGTAGATACAAGAAAACTGTTAAAATTCTTCAGAAACGTCACTTTTGAAGTGTTTTCTTGTACTTTTAAGCCAATCAGATACCCTACGGGCTCGGAAAGTGCAACGAAACCATCAAATTTTAGCTAGAAACTGTATTTTTGTCGATTTTTATTGAATTTGAACTATATTTCAACGTTTTTTGATGGTTCTGAGCCACCAAACACACTTAAAGCATGCAGAATCGACTCAGAATAGGAAAAGGAGACGTTTAGGTCAATTTTATGCATTCTGGCGTTCGTAGATACAAGAAAACTGTTAAAATTCTTCAGAAACGTCACTTTTGAAGTGTTTTCTTGTACTTTTAAGCCAATCAGATACCCTACGGGCTCGGAAAGTGCAACGAAAACGAAACCATCAAATTTTAGCTAGAAACTGTATTTTTGTCGATTTTTATTGAATTTGAACTATATTTCAACGTTTTTTGATGGTTCTGAGCCACCAAACACACTTAAAGCATGCAGAATCGACTCAGAATAGGAAAAGGAGACGTTTAGGTCAATTTTATGCATTCTGGCGTTCGTAGATACAAGAAAACTGTTAAAATTCTTCAGAAACGTCACTTTTGAAGTGTTTTCTTGTACTTTTAAGCCAATCAGATACCCTACGGGCTCGGAAAGTGCAACGAAACCATCAAATTTTAGCTAGAAACTGTATTTTTGTCGATTTTTATTGAATTTGAACTATATTTCAACGTTTTTTGATGGTTCTGAGCCACCAAACACACTTAAAGCATGCAGAATCGACTCAGAATAGGAAAAGGAGACGTTTAGGTCAATTTTATGCATTCTGGCGTTCGTAGATACAAGAAAACTGTTAAAATTCTTCAGAAACGTCACTTTTGAAGTGTTTTCTTGTACTTTTAAGCCAATCAGATACCCTACGGGCTCGGAAAGTGCAACGAAACCATCAAATTTTAGCTAGAAACTGTATTTTTGTCGATTTTTATTGAATTTGAACTATATTTCAACGTTTTTTGATGGTTCTGAGCCACCAAACACACTTAAAGCATGCAGAATCGACTCAGAATAGGAAAAGGAGACGTTTAGGTCAATTTTATGCATTCTGGCGTTCGTAGATACAAGAAAACTGTTAAAATTCTTCAGAAACGTCACTTTTGAAGTGTTTTCTTGTACTTTTAAGCCAATCAGATACCCTACGGGCTCGGAAAGTGCAACGAAACCATCAAATTTTAGCTAGAAACTGTATTTTTGTCGATTTTTATTGAATTTGAACTATATTTCAACGTTTTTTGATGGTTCTGAGCCACCAAACACACTTAAAGCATGCAGAATCGACTCAGAATAGGAAAAGGAGACGTTTAGGTCAATTTTATGCATTCTGGCGTTCGTAGATACAAGAAAACTGTTAAAATTCTTCAGAAACGTCACTTTTGAAGTGTTTTCTTGTACTTTTAAGCCAATCAGATACCCTACGGGCTCGGAAAGTGCAACGAAACCATCAAATTTTAGCTAGAAACTGTATTTTTGTCGATTTTTATTGAATTTGAACTATATTTCAACGTTTTTTGATGGTTCTGAGCCACCAAACACACTTAAAGCATGCAGAATCGACTCAGAATAGGAAAAGGAGACGTTTAGGTCAATTTTATGCATTCTGGCGTTCGTAGATACAAGAAAACTGTTAAAATTCTTCAGAAACGTCACTTTTGAAGTGTTTTCTTGTACTTTTAAGCCAATCAGATACCCTACGGGCTCGGAAAGTGCAACGAAACCATCAAATTTTAGCTAGAAACTGTATTTTTGTCGATTTTTATTGAATTTGAACTATATTTCAACGTTTTTTGATGGTTCTGAGCCACCAAACACACTTAAAGCATGCAGAATCGACTCAGAATAGGAAAAGGAGACGTTTAGGTCAATTTTATGCATTCTGGCGTTCGTAGATACAAGAAAACTGTTAAAATTCTTCAGAAACGTCACTTTTGAAGTGTTTTCTTGTACTTTTAAGCCAATCAGATACCCTACGGGCTCGGAAAGTGCAACGAAACCATCAAATTTTAGCTAGAAACTGTATTTTTGTCGATTTTTATTGAATTTGAACTATATTTCAACGTTTTTTGATGGTTCTGAGCCACCAAACACACTTAAAGCATGCAGAATCGACTCAGAATAGGAAAAGGAGACGTTTAGGTCAATTTTATGCATTCTGGCGTTCGTAGATACAAGAAAACTGTTAAAATTCTTCAGAAACGTCACTTTTGAAGTGTTTTCTTGTACTTTTAAGCCAATCAGATACCCTACGGGCTCGGAAAGTGCAACGAAACCATCAAATTTTTATTATTATTATTATTATTATTATTATTGAAACGAACACCAACAGGCGCTAACCCAATTAGGGTGTCCGAATGAAAGGCAGAGAATAATTGTTATATATTTATGAAAAATGACGAGAAGAAAAAAGAACAAAAATATGAAAATAATTAAATTACGAATAGACATTAGATTTTGCGTTAATTAGGTTTTAAAATGTTTTAATAATTTACTTTTAATTGCTCTCTTCTTGTCAAAATATATATCAATATCTGGTAGGCTTTTTAAGATAGTGTTGTATGTCTGTTGCATCCACCTTATTGGAGAATTTTCTAAAGAGCAAGTTCTTGTTTTCTCAACATAAAATAAGTCTTTGTTCCTCGATCGAATTAGTTGTGCTCTATATGTAATTTGTGTCAATAGTTGTGGATCATTGACAGCACCATTTAACAATGTATTTAAAAATAAGATTCCAGCTATTTTCCTCCTTGTTTCGAGCGACATTATTTCAAATCTATTCAATAAGCTTTCTTGTGCAAAACCACGCTGTGGGTACACACCATCTAAACGAAACGCCAGGCCCTTTAAAAACGTCTTTGAACTTTCTCTATAGTGTTTATATTTGTTTTTGTTGCAGGGTTCCAGACAATCGATGCATATTCAAGTTTGGCTCGTACCAGTGTTTTGTACAAACATATATTTGTCTCGGTTTTAGAGAACTCTTTAGACGATCTCATAATAAATCCTAATACTTTAGAAGCTCTATTTGTAACCGTGATGACATGTTGCTTGAAATTTAAATGTTTGTCAAATGTGACACCTAGGTCTTGAACAAATTCTGGTCTGTTTATACTATACAAATTTATCAAATAATCGAAATTTAGAATATTTTTTTTTGTGAATAAGTCATGACCTTACACTTAGTAAAATTTATTTGTAAATTATTATCTATAAACCACTGATATGTTTGATTCAAATTCTCCTGTAATTTTCGACAATCCTGAATACTGTTTATTTGTCTTAATAATTTGATGTCATCTGCATACAGCAGGAACTCGATGTCTAACACTCTTTGAATATCGTTTATAAATATAATGAAAAGCAGTGGCCCCAGTACAGAGCCCTGAGGTACACCAGACTTTTGACTGTACGGATCAGATTTATGACCACGACACTGGACATATTGAAACCTGTTTGATAAGTAAGAAGAGAAGATTTGGATTAAAGACTGAGACAAGCCGAATGAGGATAATTTCTTTAGAAGGATTCTATGATCTAGTGTGTCGAATGCTTTCGATAAATCTATGTATATAACATCCATTTGGCCAGTTTTATCCATAACTCTAGATATAGCTTGAGTGGTGTTGATAAGATTTGTCAAAGTTGATCTTCCTTGAACGAAACCATGTTGATTATCAGAAAGTAATACGCTCACAGGCCGACTTAGTCTTGCATGTAGAACTGACTCAAACACTTTTGAAAAATTCGATATTAAAGCTATCGGTCGATAGTTGGAAATTTCTGATTTGTTTCCGTGTTTCAATATTGGAGTAATCTTTGAAGTTTTCCACAGTTGTGGGAAGTAACCGGTCTGAATAATAAGATTAAAAATTGTGCACAGCGGTTGTGCTAGAACTGTGGCACAATCCCTGACAAAAAATGATGGAATTTCGTCAGGTCCTGCAGTAAACTTCGAAGTAAGGGAAGTTTGCAAGTTGTACTTCTTCTACATTAAACTCGTGTACGTTAATCAAGTTGTAATTGTAATTACTCGGTTCTGGAAAGACATCACTTCTAGTTTGACGATTTGAGAAGACCGATTCAAAATAAGTGGCAAAGCTGTTTACAATATCTTGTGGAGAATTAAGTTCAAGATTTCCATTGGTCATCACTTGGGGAAGAGAAACATTCTTGTTCTTATTGTTTATGTAGGTCCAAAATGTATTCGGATTCGACTTAAAATCATTTTCTACTTTTAGCAGGTAATTTTTATAGGCCCGCTTAATAGCCGATTTAGCTTCAGATCGTATCATCTTAAAAGTAGTAAGGTCTGCTTGTGATTTAGATTTTTTTAATTTAATCCAGGATTTTTGTTTCTTTTTTATGAGCATGATCACAGAATTGTCAAACCAAAGTGGATATTTGTTGCAAACAAATGATGGCTTTTTGGGAATAAACATGTCAAATAATTTATAAATAACTGAGTAAAAGTATTCCAGAGCATTATCTACGCAATCAAATTTATACAAAGAAGTCCAATCTACTTTTGATATTTCCTCATACAGTAGTAAATAATTAGCCTTCCTAAAATTGTAACTAAAGTGTTTCTTCCCACCCAAGCATTTATTGATATTTTGTTTATCCGTATATTTAAGGGTAATACTCAGCGCTGGATGATGGAAATCTTCGCGAAGAAGAGGGCCACCTCTACCAACCAAAGAAGAAAAGGATGAAGAATTGTTAAGAATTATATCTAATACACGATCATTAATATTACTTATGAAATTAGTCTGGACGAAACCAGTGAAAGACAAAAAATTGTTGAATAAGTTTAGATGCCTTGTTCTAGCGTCGGAAGAATTTCCATTATAACCTGGTAAATTAAAATCTCCCATCACCAACACATCACTAAACTGAATGCAGAAATTAGAAAATTCATCGGAGAAGAGTTCATAGTCCTTGATTGTTGATTTAGGAGGAATGTAAACACAAAATACAAACAAATGCTTGTGGCCAATTAGAAGTTTGATGCCTACAATGTCTATTAAACGCATTTTTTGAAGAGACTCAGGTAGAGTTATTTCAACACATGCAATAGTGTTGCGAACAGCAAGCAAAACTCCTCCACCTAGACCGCTGCTCTCCACAAAACGATCTGTCCTAAATACATTATAAAGATATGGGTCGAATATCTCTGAATTATATATACCATCACACAACCAGGTTTCTGTTAATGCAATTAAATCGTGATGAGTGCCAGAAGAGGCAGTTAATAATTCTAAGGTTTTTGATCGCAACCCTCTGACGTTTTGATAGTAAATTTCAACTGATTGAAGAACAAGGTTTTGTTGACAGGATGTATTCGTTTTAGAGAGTTTTGGAGATGAATCAATGAGTCAAGAGATATGCGTTTCCATAGAAGAAGCATTCGATAATTTTGGAGCAGTTAGTAAATTAGGAATATTAAATAAGTCTTGTTTTAATTTTGCAGTTGTCAGTTTGTAGGAAAAGCATTTATTGTACTCCCAAGCCGCATGCGAAACTTCGATATCAAGTTTCTGTGAATCGCGAAGGTGTAGACAGTTGGAGCAACGTAGATCTTTACTGTCCTTAGAAAGCGAACAGTTCTTAAGCTCATGTGAACCGGAACACCGGGGGCAAATAACTTGCTTATTACATCGCTTTGAGCCATGGTTAAAGCCATTGCACTTGTAACACCTGAGAAGAGAAAGAGCGTCATAAACGCCACAACCGTTAAGACCGACAAGAATATGACCAGTTTCTAATAGTTTAGTATAAGATTTAAGATCAACTGTACACTCCACCTGAAATATGTTTTTTTTATTTTAGCTAGAAACTGTATTTTTGTCGATTTTTATTGAATTTGAACTATATTTCAACGTTTTTTGATGGTTCTGAGCCACCAAACACACTTAAAGCATGCAGAATCGACTCAGAATAGGAAAAGGAGACGTTTAGGTCAATTTTATGCATTCTGGCGTTCGTAGATACAAGAAAACTGTTAAAATTCTTCAGAAACGTCACTTTTGAAGTGTTTTCTTGTACTTTTAAGCCAATCAGATACCCTACGGGCTCGGAAAGTGCAACGAAACCATCAAATTTTAGCTAGAAACTGTATTTTTGTCGATTTTTATTGAATTTGAACTATATTTCAACGTTTTTTGATGGTTCTGAGCCACCAAACACACTTAAAGCATGCAGAATCGACTCAGAATAGGAAAAGGAGACGTTTAGGTCAATTTTATGCATTCTGGCGTTCGTAGATACAAGAAAACTGTTAAAATTCTTCAGAAACGTCACTTTTGAAGTGTTTTCTTGTACTTTTAAGCCAATCAGATACCCTACGGGCTCGGAAAGTGCAACGAAACCATCAAATTTTAGCTAGAAACTGTATTTTTGTCGATTTTTATTGAATTTGAACTATATTTCAACGTTTTTTGATGGTTCTGAGCCACCAAACACACTTAAAGCATGCAGAATCGACTCAGAATAGGAAAAGGAGACGTTTAGGTCAATTTTATGCATTCTGGCGTTCGTAGATACAAGAAAACTGTTAAAATTCTTCAGAAACGTCACTTTTGAAGTGTTTTCTTGTACTTTTAAGCCAATCAGATACCCTACGGGCTCGGAAAGTGCAACGAAACCATCAAATTTTAGCTAGAAACTGTATTTTTGTCGATTTTTATTGAATTTGAACTATATTTCAACGTTTTTTGATGGTTCTGAGCCACCAAACACACTTAAAGCATGCAGAATCGACTCAGAATAGGAAAAGGAGACGTTTAGGTCAATTTTATGCATTCTGGCGTTCGTAGATACAAGAAAACTGTTAAAATTCTTCAGAAACGTCACTTTTGAAGTGTTTTCTTGTACTTTTAAGCCAATCAGATACCCTACGGGCTCGGAAAGTGCAACGAAACCATCAAATTTTAGCTAGAAACTGTATTTTTGTCGATTTTTATTGAATTTGAACTATATTTCAACGTTTTTTGATGGTTCTGAGCCACCAAACACACTTAAAGCATGCAGAATCGACTCAGAATAGGAAAAGGAGACGTTTAGGTCAATTTTATGCATTCTGGCGTTCGTAGATACAAGAAAACTGTTAAAATTCTTCAGAAACGTCACTTTTGAAGTGTTTTCTTGTACTTTTAAGCCAATCAGATACCCTACGGGCTCGGAAAGTGCAACGAAACCATCAAATTTTAGCTAGAAACTGTATTTTTTGTCGATTTTTATTGAATTTGAACTATATTTCAACGTTTTTTGATGGTTCTGAGCCACCAAACACACTTAAAGCATGCAGAATCGACTCAGAATAGGAAAAGGAGACGTTTAGGTCAATTTTATGCATTCTGGCGTTCGTAGATACAAGAAAACTGTTAAAATTCTTCAGAAACGTCACTTTTGAAGTGTTTTCTTGTACTTTTAAGCCAATCAGATACCCTACGGGCTCGGAAAGTGCAACGAAACCATCAAATTTTAGCTAGAAACTGTATTTTTGTCGATTTTTATTGAATTTGAACTATATTTCAACGTTTTTTGATGGTTCTGAGCCACCAAACACACTTAAAGCATGCAGAATCGACTCAGAATAGGAAAAGGAGACGTTTAGGTCAATTTTATGCATTCTGGCGTTCGTAGATACAAGAAAACTGTTAAAATTCTTCAGAAACGTCACTTTTGAAGTGTTTTCTTGTACTTTTAAGCCAATCAGATACCCTACGGGCTCGGAAAGTGCAACGAAACCATCAAATTTTAGCTAGAAACTGTATTTTTGTCGATTTTTATTGAATTTGAACTATATTTCAACGTTTTTTGATGGTTCTGAGCCACCAAACACACTTAAAGCATGCAGAATCGACTCAGAATAGGAAAAGGAGACGTTTAGGTCAATTTTATGCATTCTGGCGTTCGTAGATACAAGAAAACTGTTAAAATTCTTCAGAAACGTCACTTTTGAAGTGTTTTCTTGTACTTTTAAGCCAATCAGATACCCTACGGGCTCGGAAAGTGCAACGAAACCATCAAATTTTAGCTAGAAACTGTATTTTTGTCGATTTTTATTGAATTTGAACTATATTTCAACGTTTTTTGATGGTTCTGAGCCACCAAACACACTTAAAGCATGCAGAATCGACTCAGAATAGGAAAAGGAGACGTTTAGGTCAATTTTATGCATTCTGGCGTTCGTAGATACAAGAAAACTGTTAAAATTCTTCAGAAACGTCACTTTTGAAGTGTTTTCTTGTACTTTTAAGCCAATCAGATACCCTACGGGCTCGGAAAGTGCAACGAAACCATCAAATTTTAGCTAGAAACTGTATTTTTGTCGATTTTTATTGAATTTGAACTATATTTCAACGTTTTTTGATGGTTCTGAGCCACCAAACACACTTAAAGCATGCAGAATCGACTCAGAATAGGAAAAGGAGACGTTTAGGTCAATTTTATGCATTCTGGCGTTCGTAGATACAAGAAAACTGTTAAAATTCTTCAGAAACGTCACTTTTGAAGTGTTTTCTTGTACTTTTAAGCCAATCAGATACCCTACGGGCTCGGAAAGTGCAACGAAACCATCAAATTTTAGCTAGAAACTGTATTTTTGTCGATTTTTATTGAATTTGAACTATATTTCAACGTTTTTTGATGGTTCTGAGCCACCAAACACACTTAAAGCATGCAGAATCGACTCAGAATAGGAAAAGGAGACGTTTAGGTCAATTTTATGCATTCTGGCGTTCGTAGATACAAGAAAACTGTTAAAATTCTTCAGAAACGTCACTTTTGAAGTGTTTTCTTGTACTTTTAAGCCAATCAGATACCCTACGGGCTCGGAAAGTGCAACGAAACCATCAAATTTTAGCTAGAAACTGTATTTTTGTCGATTTTTATTGAATTTGAACTATATTTCAACGTTTTTTGATGGTTCTGAGCCACCACAACACACTTAAAGCATGCAGAATCGACTCAGAATAGGAAAAGGAGACGTTTAGGTCAATTTTATGCATTCTGGCGTTCGTAGATACAAGAAAACTGTTAAAATTCTTCAGAAACGTCACTTTTGAAGTGTTTTCTTGTACTTTTAAGCCAATCAGATACCCTACGGGCTCGGAAAGTGCAACGAAACCATCAAATTTTAGCTAGAAACTGTATTTTTGTCGATTTTTATTGAATTTGAACTATATTTCAACGTTTTTTGATGGTTCTGAGCCACCAAACACACTTAAAGCATGCAGAATCGACTCAGAATAGGAAAAGGAGACGTTTAGGTCAATTTTATGCATTCTGGCGTTCGTAGATACAAGAAAACTGTTAAAATTCTTCAGAAACGTCACTTTTGAAGTGTTTTCTTGTACTTTTAAGCCAATCAGATACCCTACGGGCTCGGAAAGTGCAACGAAACCATCAAATTTTAGCTAGAAACTGTATTTTTGTCGATTTTTATTGAATTTGAACTATATTTCAACGTTTTTTGATGGTTCTGAGCCACCAAACACACTTAAAGCATGCAGAATCGACTCAGAATAGGAAAAGGAGACGTTTAGGTCAATTTTATGCATTCTGGCGTTCGTAGATACAAGAAAACTGTTAAAATTCTTCAGAAACGTCACTTTTGAAGTGTTTTCTTGTACTTTTAAGCCAATCAGATACCCTACGGGCTCGGAAAGTGCAACGAAACCATCAAATTTTAGCTAGAAACTGTATTTTTGTCGATTTTTATTGAATTTGAACTATATTTCAACGTTTTTTGATGGTTCTGAGCCACCAAACACACTTAAAGCATGCAGAATCGACTCAGAATAGGAAAAGGAGACGTTTAGGTCAATTTTATGCATTCTGGCGTTCGTAGATACAAGAAAACTGTTAAAATTCTTCAGAAACGTCACTTTTGAAGTGTTTTCTTGTACTTTTAAGCCAATCAGATACCCTACGGGCTCGGAAAGTGCAACGAAACCATCAAATTTTAGCTAGAAACTGTATTTTTGTCGATTTTTATTGAATTTGAACTATATTTCAACGTTTTTTGATGGTTCTGAGCCACCAAACACACTTAAAGCATGCAGAATCGACTCAGAATAGGAAAAGGAGACGTTTAGGTCAATTTTATGCATTCTGGCGTTCGTAGATACAAGAAAACTGTTAAAATTCTTCAGAAACGTCACTTTTGAAGTGTTTTCTTGTACTTTTAAGCCAATCAGATACCCTACGGGCTCGGAAAGTGCAACGAAACCATCAAATTTTAGCTAGAAACTGTATTTTTGTCGATTTTTATTGAATTTGAACTATATTTCAACGTTTTTTGATGGTTCTGAGCCACCAAACACACTTAAAGCATGCAGAATCGACTCAGAATAGGAAAAGGAGACGTTTAGGTCAATTTTATGCATTCTGGCGTTCGTAGATACAAGAAAACTGTTAAAATTCTTCAGAAACGTCACTTTTGAAGTGTTTTCTTGTACTTTTAAGCCAATCAGATACCCTACGGGCTCGGAAAGTGCAACGAAACCATCAAATTTTAGCTAGAAACTGTATTTTTGTCGATTTTTATTGAATTTGAACTATATTTCAACGTTTTTTGATGGTTCTGAGCCACCAAACACACTTAAAGCATGCAGAATCGACTCAGAATAGGAAAAGGAGACGTTTAGGTCAATTTTATGCATTCTG